CACGAAACGATGGAGTATTGGAGTGAATAGTGTATTGAAACACCTCATAATCCCCAAATGACCAGCGTACGATGAAGTTGCAAAGAAATAACTCTTTAGAATGTGGACATGTGGCTTTTCCATTCTATAATTTGAACGTCGAGAAGAACTTGTGGTGTCAATATTCAAAGTCAATTAGGATATATGGGACCACAAGCACAAGGAAATGATCTTAGAATGTTATAACTTATAACGTATTTCATACCTCCAAGTCCAACAAGTGCCACGTGGTTTTCCATATCTTTTTCATGTATCAATTAAGTGGCAAGTGGGGGTGTATTTTGATGAAGTACAAATACCACCGTATAGCAGCCATGTAATGTTTTCAGCTTAAAGATCGCTCAAGTGTATATATTGTTTATTTTAATAACTTCACCAAACTACGTGGGGGGAATAATTAAATAAATGCAGCACTCTTTCATGCATTAATTTTAAAAGGTAGCAAGGAAGTTGCAGTACTTCAAAATGTAGTGAAGTTAATGTGGCACAGCAGTACTACTATAGTTATCAAGTATTTGTTTTCTTGTATATTAATCGGGGGTGTGCAAGTAGCACTACAATAAAATTTAGTATTACCGACAATTATTTAATGACAATAAATTAATTGTCTCTATTTTATTATTTAATAAAAAATATTAATGATTATTATATAATGGCCACTAAAAATGTATTTATATCACATCAAAATTTATTATTAGCGATAATTATTTGTTAAAAAAAACTTAAGTCCCACATCGATTAGAAATAAAATAATTAAAGAGTATATAACTGAATGATAACTTTCACCTACAAGTATGTTTTATAAGGTTGAATTAGGCATATAACTTACTATTTAAGTTGGTATTTAGGAGATAAGATAATTAAAAAAATTAAAGAATATATACTTAGAAGATAACCTTCATCTTCTAAGTCTCACATCAATTAGAAATAAGGTAACTAAAGAGTATTTGTACTTATCTTACAAGTCCTACATCGACTAGAAATAAGATAATTAAAAAGTATTATAAATCTTTTCTTAAATTTTTAGCGGCAATTTTAAATGCTAGTAACAAATGACACAAAAAGTTATACATTTTTTCCGATCATTATGAGGTTTACCAGCATATAGAATAATTGCCGGTAAATATTTTAGCGACACTGCATACAATGGCTAATGTGTGAAATGCCGGTAAAAGAATTTGTAGCAATTTTTATTGTTACTAAAAGTCATATTAAATATCACTAAAAGTCCATTTTATTGTAGTGTAGGATAGCAACATCTCATCCATTTATTTACAATCCACGTACTATTCATTGGTTCAAATGGATTTATGTTTAAAATTAGATTATATATTTTTTTAAAAGAAAAATTTGGATTATGTTTTGAATGATTTCAACTTATCTTATATTTTTTTTTGGGAAATAACTGTGTATTAATTAATAATAAAAATTAATAGAAAATATGTATAATATGATATTACATTTATAATGACATTATTTATTTTAAATAAATATCTTAATTAAAATTTTATTTCTTTTTTATTTTATAAGTTAACCATGCATATATAATATTAAAGTTTAAATATATTTTTAGTTTTTTTTTAATTTGGAGTATATATTTTTTTGTCTCTCAAATTTAAAACTTGCATTTTTAATATCTAAAATATTAAATATTATTATTTTAGTCTCACTTAATTTATCACTATCAATTATGATATTTATAACAACTAATTTTTCTTATAAATTACAAAAAACAAAAAGGTAAAATTTAAATTTAACAACTAAAATAATAATTTTTAATATTTTAAAATTAAAAACACAAATTTTAAATTTAGAAAGATAAAAAAATATAAATTAAAATTTAAAAGACTAAAAATATAATTAAACCTATTATTAATATTAATATATTACGTTAAAACATCATATTACATTCGTCATTTCATATATTTCACATTTTGAACGGATTGAGTTTAAAATTAAATAAATAATTTGGTCAAATTTTTAGACTAATAAAAATGTAATTAACTCATCCTAAATATTACTAATACTCATTCTTATTTATCAGTTAAAATTTATTAAAAATTTTAAAATCGTAATAAAGTTTTATTCAAATAACATTTTTTGATCCGTAGAATTTTATAATATTTTAATCTTTAAAATATTAAAATTATTATTTCAATTTTACTCAATTTATAATTATCACTTATGATATTAGTAACTAAAGTAATTTTTTTTATAAATTACAAAGATTAAAAAATAAATTTTAAATTTCAAACTTAAATAATAATTTTTATATTTTAAAATTAGAAACCCAAGTTTTAAAATATAATATATATTACGTTAAAACATCATATTGACTATATCGAGTTTAAGATTAAATAAATAATTTGATCAAATTTTTAAACTAATTAAAAACAGTAATACACTCATCCTAAATATTACTCATTCTTTTTTATTAGTTAAAATTTATTAAAAATTGTGAAATTATAATAAATTTTTATTCAAATAACACTTTTGATTGATAAAATTTTATAAATCTTAACTTAAAAAAATATATTATGATTTTCTTCAGATATTTCTCTGCATTATTATTTGCGAGTATATAAGAATTTAAATGATAAAAAAATAACAGAATATACCATCAGTTCATCATATTATAACAATATTATATAATATAAATTTATCTATTAATTTAGTTATTTTATAAAGTTAAAATCCTAATAGTACTGATAATATATTATCCTATGCTTAGAACATTTCCAATACAGTTGTTTATTTGAGTTTTTTAAAGTTAAGAATCAAAATTTCACTTAATTCAACATTGAAGTAAATGATGTAACATTGCTTATCTAAATACTGTTATTTATATAAGTTAATCACTTATATATTATATTATTAGTGTAAAAAATATTTATATTAGAATTAATAATATTTTAATAGTATCATGTCAGTTATTTATTTAATAAAATTAAAATAAAATAAAATAATTTAAAAGATATGATTGATTGTTAGTGTAAAAAAATTTATATTGTATGGAATTATTAACTCTATTTATATAAATGAGTTAATCATCTATACACTAATAGTGTAAAGTTTTTTTATACTAGCAACTAATCATATCTTTTAATAGTACTATGTCAGTTGCTCATTTGATAAAATAAAAATAAAATAATTTAAAAATATGATTGATTGTTAGTGTAAAAATCTTTAGAGTTTAGATTGATAATGTATAGATGATTATCTCTATATAAATATGGTATACTTAACAATAAAAAAAGAAGAAACTATGTTATTACTAGCAAATTGGACCCACAAAAAGTAAATAAGAAACTCTCACAATTATGTGGTGGAAATTGAATGTAATCCGTACTGTGATACACTGATACTCATGCTGCTGATATTTATTTCATCTCCGTTAATGTCATCTCGCGCATTAAAGGACAAATATTATCGCGTTAAAAAATTGTTAACAATATCACTTTCGGTCCTTTTTACGAAAAATAAGTTATAGGATAAAATTTAATTATCACTTTTTTTTTTAATAAAACATCAGATGTAGTATTATTTTTATTTTATACACTCTTTTGAATATATATTTTTATTAATTAAAATTTCTTAAAAATTGTAGAATTTATATCTATTTAATGTATCTCTATCATAATTTTTAATTAATGTGTGTAGCATTTCATATGTGGAGTAAAGATAATACTACATCCAAGAATCAATTTTACTTTTATCTTCTAAAGTTATGATACCATAAAAAAGAGATTATTATTTGTTTTTTTTTTGCTTTTACCATAATTTTTTTTTTATCGCCGTGAAATCATTTTAATCACACTATGTATGTAACTATGTATGTTAGAAAATTTACTAACATTGAATAATTGCATTTTATAATTTTTTTTCTTTTATCTTCAATATAAATATCACAATATTAATAAAATTATAATATTTTGTTGTAATTGTTATTACTCGTATTTATTTTCTAAATATCAATTCTCTTTATTTCCATTTTATATATTTATCATTATGCAATATCCGAATTTGATTAAGCTTTAAGAGTGCATATTATCAGGGAAATGCTTTTCGATCAAAAGGGGACCACAAAATATTGTCCCTTTAGATTTTTGGAATAGTACTTATAATATGTGCATATAAAAAAACTAGAGCTAGTTATAGATGGTGTCAATTCTTATGTTAACGAAATTGATAATGTTAAGATGTCTCATCACAAGTAGAAAGCATACATGGAAATACTCTTTACAAAACCAAACAAATTTCCTTAAAAATGAATCAGACTTGACTTCAAAATCAAACTTAGGAAAGGATGATCGTTGGAAATTTATAAGGAATCTTTTACTCATATTCCGAATAAACTTTTTAAGGCATGGAAAGAGAATATGTGCGACACCTTTTAACTGAGCCTAAAATTGAGATTCATGGTACTGTGCAACATGTTAATAGTAAGATACTGTAATTAAGAGCACGGAACCTAGGAGCCTGCGGAAGAGAGTGACATGAATGAAGATTGACGAGGACTTGCTTGGCATTTTCCATTTTCCGAACCACTTGTTTGCAGTGTCTAGAATTTGGTTTGTTTTGATTTGATGAAGGAACAAGCCATCAGGATTACTATTGAAGAAGCTTCTTCGGTGTTGTTATTTCCATCAATTAAATTAATGGGTTAATTATTTCTAATTTCAATCACATGGAGTTTAACAAAAGCTTTATAGAACACGGGAGAAAAACCATTGAAATCAAACTCTACTCCTCAATACGGTTTACATTACTTTAGAAAGGTGGATAGATGATACTACTATTTAATGACATAAGATAGATTTTATCGATTGCCCTGGCCTACACGGGAGAAAAAAAATGCAATGAAGTGTTAGGTTGCTTTCTCAAGTCTTTTTTTTTTTTTTTTTTAAATCCAAATACCCCAAAAACTTAAGCCTTGGTTTTGTAACCTATAAAAGCTGAAGCCTCTAACTTAATTTAGCATCTATCGATAAAGCTATCAAACTCACTCATTAGAAAATGCCTTCCAAGAGGCTTGAATGGAAATCCTTAGTACTTGGTTGTTTCAAGGCCAAAACCCCATCCTTGGAATCTCCAAATATAGTTTCCAAGAAGACATCTTCAAGTAGAATCTTCCTCTCTGATTTGAGTGATTACTCATCACTCTCTATTATGAGTGATTTATCCAATTCCCTTGTGGGATCAAATCTTCATATTTTCACTTACCAAGAGCTAAAAGAGATTACACATGGCTTCAGCAAAATCAACATTCTTGGGGAAGGGGGGTTTGGGAAGGTGTATAAAGGATTTATAGATGACAATCTTAGGCCTGGATTGAAAGCCAAGACTGTGGCAGTTAAGGCCTTAAACTTGGATGGTAAACAAGGCCACAGAGAGTGGTTGGTAAGAATTTGATAAATCTTTCAAATTTCAATATCACCATTCATATCAATTCCTCTGTCTTTCAAGTGATGAAAATTTTTACTAAATCCTTTTGTACTCAACAGGCTGAAGTAGTCTTTCTGGGGCAGTTGAAGCATCGTCATCTGGTAAACTTAATTGGCTACTGCTGCGAAGATGAACATAGGCTTCTTGTGTATGAATACATGGAGAGAGGCAATCTAGAGGAAAAACTTTTCAAAGGTGAAACAAAATAACAGTTAGAATTTTACTTTTTTCTCTACACAATTTCTGCTTCAATGATTTCTTACAAAATGTTTATCCTTCTAAAATGCAGGTTATGTAGCAGCTTTGCCTTGGCTAACAAGAATCAAAATAGCAATTGGGGCAGCCAAGGGACTAATGTTTCTTCATGAAGAAGAGAAACCTGTCATATATAGAGATGTCAAGGCCTCAAACATTCTATTGGATGCTGTAAGTCCTCACTAGCCTTTTTGTTCACTCAACCAAATCTGTTAACTAAATAGAATTTCACAAATTGACATGTATGTTCTCATTTCCTTCAGGATTACAATGCCAAGCTCTCAGATTTCGGCTTAGCAATAGATGGACCAGAAAAAGATCAAACATATATCACAACTAATGTAATGGGTACACATGGTTATGCTGCTCCAGAGTACATCATGACAGGTATTGCATATTGTATATTCCATTTAAAACCAATCTCATTTTAACCAAGTCAATTAGGGTCGACCTAATGAGGATTGAAGTAATATACACATGGATATTATAATTCTTACCTATCAAAAAAAAATCTCAAATTAACCAACCCCCTTAATTTCATTCATCAAAATTCACAATCTTCAATTAATTGATTATACTTACACTTTTGTTTTTTTGTTTTTCCTTAGGCCATTTGACAACCATGAGTGATGTATATAGCTTTGGAGTTGTTCTCTTAGAGCTTCTCACAGGAAAGAAATCTGTGGACAAAAAACGACCCACCAGAGAGCAGGATTTGGTGGAATGGGCAAGGCCTTTGTTGAAGGACTCCCACAAACTTGAAAGAATAATTGACACAAGACTTGAGGACCAGTACTCAACAGAAGGGGCTAGAAAGTTTGCATCTTTGGCTTATCAATGCCTTAGTCCTCATGCAAAGTGTAGGCCCACCATGCGAACCGTGGTTAAAACCTTAGAGCCTCTGTTGCAATTGAAAGATATCCCAGTTGGGCCTTTTGTGTATGTGGTGCCCAGTGATGAAGATTTGCTCAAAGTGAATGAAAAAGGAAAAGAAAATGACTGTGATGAGATCAACCAAGGTGAGTTAAAAGCCAAAGAAGAAGAAAAGGTTGAGAAAAAAGAGAAGGGTCACCAAAGGCAACGAAAAAGTCGTCGCAATAGACGTAGGGTTAAGCCATTGAGGTCTAGGGCTGTTTACTCTGACACTGCTCTGTATAAAACTCTTGGTACCAATCTGTATTCTCCCAAACAAGCACCATAAGGTGGACATGGATCGGTATTATACTATGTTAGCATGATTCATCTCCAATTCTTCAAGATGCAATCATAGCTATAGGTAGATAGAGAGAAAACACTAAGGTTAATTCCTTGTATATTTACCATAAAGTTCTCAAATGATGTAAATAATTGGTTAAAAATATGTTGAGGGATTTCTTAAAAAATCAATGTGAGAACTTGATGGTAAAAATATAAGGGAATTAGATGAAGGTTTTGGTATGAAAAACGTCATAGGAGGGGAAAGGGAAATGTATTGTACGTCATACAGGCATACAGTTTAGTTGATTTTTTTTTTGTGTAGTTTGATTTTGATGTTTGCTTTTCAGAAATTCCAACATGTTTTTTGAGGACTGATCATTGATGTTACATGCACCTAAATTCGCCCACGTACTTGTTTAAATTATTCTAATTATACGAGCATACACCTAAAATCTCTTGGCAGCCTAACACATATTTCACGTTCACAAAAATTGTGTTTAGTTGGCTTCGTGGAGTGGAGTTTCAAGATTTATCTAAGTTTCTACCTTATCGTGATAAATTCGGTGTCTCGTTATGCCTTACGTCTGAAGCAAGATAATATTCAAGTGTGTTTGTATTTTTCCACCTTGTTATTGAAAAATGGTGCCTTACGTAGGAAGCAAATGAAGATTTAAGAACTTAATCGAACTCTATTCTCTGTTTCTTGTATTTTGTTCATTCTTTTTACCCTACAAAGTCATAAACCGTTCATTTGAAAAACTAGTGATTTTGAAAGTGAAATAGGCCAAAATATTTCTAGACTTGAGCAGTTGACTTCTACCGCGTCTTGACAAATGGTTGTTTTTTAACAAAACTTGTGTTGTGGTTGTGGATTAGATTTTTCCAAAACTGTGGCATCCATGTTGTAGTGGATAAAGATTCATTCTGCCATGGTGTTGTATTTCTTGTAATTTTTTAAACCACTTTCATTTTGCGTGTGGACAATAAAGTAAAGAAAATAAATGACTAAAGAGGTTGTCCGGAAGGGGGTTGGTGATAGCCATGAAGTGGAACAAACCAGTTAAGGACAAAGTTGGTGTGTGCTGTATGCATGAAATGATCCATTTTAATCTTCAATTTACCCTTTTAATTGATAGAAGGATTAAGGAGTCAATCTTTTTTAACTTTGATAATTGCAATTCAGTAATTGGCTTGTCCTTATTCAATGTTCTAGAATTGCAAGAAAACAAGACAGCAATTTCATATCAATCAATCAGAGTTACCCTTTCATTTGGCTTAATTTTCATATCACCCTCCTTTACCAACCCCAACCAGCCATCAGTGGGCTTAATGAAAATCACTTGCGGTAAGGCTAAAATCACAAATTAAGAATCTCCAACTGTCTTCTGGTGACATGTCAACAATCAAAACAAAGACTAATACTAATCAAAGCAAATGCCACTAGAAAGAAAAATATTGGCTCACAAATTCAACTCATTTCACGGCATTTTCTGGAATTTTGTCATTTACAGTCCTCCTAATAACACCATTAAAAAAATCAGACTTTCTTTTAAATAAGTACCTGATACAACACATTCTAGAGCGAAACTGTAGACGGATAGATATACAACACAAGCAGACACGAGAAGACACGAAGTTGGTGGTCCAGCAGCCATATAGCTAGCTAGTTTAAAATAATCCAAGTTTGAAAATTAAACAAGTACTTTGGATTGTTTATAAAAATCAATCTCCACTAACATTTATGACATAATAAGTCATTTTCAAATTCTTAACTTTCCTAAAATAAAATATTGATCACATAATATACAAAAATCTGAAGTCATGTGGAATGACATAATGGTTTTTGTCTTAGTTTGTTTGTATAGCGAAGCCAAATCTGTGTGGAAATGAGAAATTAGAACAGAAAATGGGGTGTGTTTTTATATCAATATCTTCAATCTGCATTGTTCAACGCAGCAGAACAATGTTAGGCATCATGCCACTCAGAAGATTCAAATTCTTTTAATGTAATTATCTAGCCTAGACTAAGTGTATTCTATTCAAAAGTTGTAGTTTGCAAAGAAAGGAAGGCCACATATATGATTCAATATGGGAGAGAAAGGTTTAGTTTAACCGGTAGCAATACCATATGGACTGAAAATGAAACTGTGACTTGAATATTTGTTGCCAACAAGTTGGACTAGAATGTGTTCAATTCAAGCATCCACTAATCTTGTATGTTCTAAATGCTAATCAAAATTTTATTTCCTTCTTCCATGTTTTCGTCTTTAAACTTCATTGTGGTAGCTCAACAACACATCCACAATGGGAACAAATCTTGCAAAATATGGCATGTTATGATTGCAATACAAAGCTTTTCTTCTATTTGAGGCACAATTCACATTAATTTGATATTTTTTCAGATCAAGGATAGTGTATGAGTTAGGTAGAGCCCACAATTATATCCAAAACCCTTTCATATGACAAAGCCTATGAAACATTTGGTAAAGACTGGCTTCTTAGTTTATTTTAATTTAATACAAGTATTAGTTTATTTGCTTTTTTTCCTCATCAATATTCATGTTTTCTTTCTTATTCATGATTTTCTTACATTTCTGCATCCCACTATCTTTCTGAACCAAGACTTTGTCGGCATGTAATACTCGTTTACCATATGTCATATGTGGCTCTAATTAACCTAAACAACGTTCACATTATTTAACAACAGAGTAAAGCTATTTGGTACAAAAATAATTTCTACTGTAAATTATTATAAATTAATGATGAGAACTATTCAGGAATTGATTAAGCATTCCTGAGTGGTTAAAGTTTAAATGTAACTGTCAAAAAATAAAGAAATGTAAATACGGTTCCATTCTTATTTACTTTTGTCAAAAGTAATTTTAATTATTTTGTATGTGTAACGAAAAATTCTGGAAACTTGGTGAGGATGGGGGGTTTTGTCAATAAATAAAATGATTTTTTATTTTAGCGTGACAGAATGTACAACTTCAGCATCGTTTTCTGGTGTTGAATATGAAGTTTTACATTTTTCACACCCTATATTATATAATTAGAAAATTATATTTTAGACTACATAGCTTACATGATTTTGAAAATATCTTTCATAATTAAGTGGTTAGGACGTCAATGTCATGTGCAAATAATGCATAATTAATTTTCTTGGGGTTAGTTTTTATCATTAGAAACTAATGCGAATTATAACACATTTAAGCATTAAAATAAAATTGGAGAACGATAGAGTAAAGAATTTGTAATTACGTTGAATCTCATGCTCTAACACGACGTAATAAAAAATGCAATTCAAAGCAGCATTACATGGGAGAGGAACCCCTCCATCCCACAAGATTTGGTTCCCCTATTAGAGCCACCATGTCAAAAGTACTCATTACTGCTGCAGCTAAACATGACAAAGAAAAGGCAACAATATACTATACCGTACGAAACCATTCTCAGTCTGCACATGTTTATATATTATTGAACAAATGTTAAATTAAAAATCAACAAGTTTGACTCATATCAGAAGCCATTTTCTTTACTTTATATGCTGAGTTGGTGTGACACAAATTAGTACTTTTGTACCATTTTAAAAAACATCTCAAATACCGCATATTCTCCACATATTGAGATTTGATTTATTTTATATTATTTTTTTTAGAGTAAATTACACTTCTCCCTCAAAAAATATGGATATTATATTCTCTCATCTTTTATGTTAAAAATTACGATTTTTTCTCTAAATAAATTTTAATATATCATATGTCATCCATTTTTTTTATTACCGAAATATCTTTTACATTAAATATACTAAATATTATATATTTTAACGCAAAAGATGAAGACAATACAATATTTTTATCTCTTTTGATAGGGTAGTGTAATTTACTTAATTTTTTTATTTAACTTAATCCATTGAAGTGATATTAAAAGATTAGAGATGACAAAAAAAATATGATAAAATCCATATATTGATGCCACAATTTCTATTCTTAAATATTTTGATTGTGCATCAACTATATCACATGTACTTAAATTGTTGGATAATAATAGTCAATAATAACATTACTTTTACCACCTCTATTATAAAATTGTTTATGAAATTTTTGTCTCTTATAACTCCTTTAAAACCCTAAAAAAATCTAATAATCAGGTCAATTATTTATCTATTGATATATGTATAAGATAGGTAAGATTCAATTTTACTGGATAGTTCTAAATTAAACTAATTAAATGATATTTTCTCTAATATTCCTTTTAAAATAATAAAAAAAACACTTGTGAATTGGTCTCATCCTTTAAATGAGTCAAAATAGATCGATTTAGCCTATTCAAAAATCTTTAAAAGACAAGTTAGGTTGAATTTAGTATTTTAAAATTATGTTTAAATTTTAAATTTAATTCAACCTTGTGGTAGGTTATGAGTTGGACTAAGTTGACCTGTAAATTTTTTTTTAAAAAAAAATCTTATATCAAATCTAATTTCTAAAAGTCCAACTTGTTAAAACATAAATTTTTATTTTAATATTATTTTGAATTTGAGTCCTCATATGCATTTGTGTTAAATATTTTGAGTATAGTGATTTTATTTATTTGAGTGAGATTGTCTTATAAAAAATATATAAAAAAATTACAATGTGACAATTTTTTTCTTGTTGTTCTGAAAATTTTTTTTTCAGTGAGAAATGAAGAGCACTAACATTGACAATCACTATGGTTGGGCCATACATGGTAATCATCTTGTGATGCGTGTGGGCTTGCGTAGTTATTGTAAGTGTCTCTCAGGTATTTTGAATCTGATATACAAACAAGACTAACCAGTCTTGAAGACCTCTGAGCCCAAGCCCGTCTGACAAGTGCGTGACTCCATTTAACAGAGGATCATGATATATAATCTCTCTCTCTTTTTTTTTTTTTTTAAGTACATCCCTTTTTTTAAAAAAATAATTAAATTCTTAAAATGTCTTTAATTTTTAATTTTACACTCCTAATATTTAATTAAAAAAAATTACATACCTTTTTTCTTTATTTTCACATGTACTCCCTTAATTTTTCTTCACTCCCACCTATTTTGGTAGGTAATTTTAATTCTTTTAAGTTTACATTATTCTTTTTTCCTTCCTCTTTCAATTTTCTTGTTGATTTCACTATCTACATAATACTTTATAGAATAGTGAAAATCTCTTTTTTATAACACTAAACTTAATGAAAGTAAAGGAGGTGTCTTTTGAAGGGGTGAAAGGAAAGGAAGTGTTGAAAAAAATATATATGTCTAGTTTAATAGAAACTGTCGAAGAAGCTACACGTAACTACAATGTTGTCAT